ACTTTAACAATGCACAAAAAGCCTTCTGTATATTGGTTTCATCCCTTCTGCAGGCTTACAGATGTATTCCAACTGCTTTAGTGCAGCTCATCGATTAGTAGCATATAGTTTTATATTCTCATTATTCAATTATTACTCTTTCAATTCAATTTCACTGACTCAGTTTAACATCTATACTGTTAAATGAGGGTGCACATGTCTTTGTGTCACCTAAAGCCACCTGTAATATAATACCAACCTGTTAAAAGTAGTACCTTGCTTGGGAAATTATTATGTTGGACTATTTGGTGTTTGGAGCAGAACTGGCTGCTCTAGTTTCCATGGTGTAATCTAGTTAAGCAATCATTTCCTGGGAAGTATCCAAACTTGTTGAGTCAGAAATGTGGCTGGCAACCAGGAAAAAATAATTTCTCTCTCAAACAAACCAAACACAGCAGCTCAAGAAGTAGGTGCCTAATAGACAGGATTCTGGCTTTCACTGTGATTTCTAAAAGACTGAATCAATTGCAAGATAGGTTACTCTGTGAAAAATAGGGTAGTTCCCTTTCTTTTTCTTAAGGGTACTTTTAAATTATGTTAGAAATAAGAACCAGCTCCAGATATTGTGGGACAGCTGTGCTGAGCTTACAGTTAAAAATATACGAATTGTGGATTAAAAAGTCATCCTTGGCTATTATTGCATTAGTAGTGATCAGCGCTTTAAAAGGAGTCATCTCTTCTTGCCTGCCTGACAGACCTGCTTAATCCATTTCAATTCCTAAAGTAACTGAAGGGCCAGAGCCAGAAATTACACACAAACTAGTCTCAGTGATCAGAAACTGATTCAAATCTGTAACACAACAGAAGTTCAGTGCACATAAATTGCTTTCAAAATGGCTGAAATTGATATAAGATAAGCTTGGGTGGATGTAATATCAGACTTAACTGATTTAAGTAAAATCAGTTTATTGAATTTCTGTCCCAGTTCCCCTCCAGATTCAGTTAACTCGCAGTTCTCCAACCTCCCAGGATGCTTTGCACCTCCCCCACAAGCTCCCCTTACGGGATGGGCAGGCCAGTATTGTGCCCAAGCTGTCTGCAGAGCAAGGAGGTGTGCTCTAGCATCCCCCTATCTTTCTGGCCTGGGCTACTGCAGGCACATGGCTGTATTTGTGGA